TGTCAACTTACTGCATTATGAAGTTATATGGATTTTCAACTTTATAAGTAAACAATAAAGTGGTTATCATATTGGGTATTATTGATTTTTACCGACTTCAAAAAAAGGAGGAGGTACTATGTTCGTCTGATTGTTTTTTTTTTTTTTTTTGTTTGTTCGCGCAGTACTCCGCCGTTTGTGGACCGATTTCAAAAATTTTTGTTTTGTTTGAAAGGGTGTACTCCCGAGATGGTCCCATTTTCATGAAGTCAGGATCTGATGATGGGATCCTAGGGAAACCGAGGGGAACTTTCGAAAATTCTATGGGGGAGTAATGCGTCTATTATGTTTTCCAATTAAGAATTTTAAACACTACAATTAGATAAGGGTCTGGAGTCGACCTGATGATGGAGTCGACAGACAGTCGAGGGAACTCCTCAGCGGTTTATATTAACTACCTTGTGTTTGGGCTTGATTAATTTGTATTGATGAGGACTTTACACCTAGATAGAGTGGGGCTGTCATTAAGGGTCTGATGATGAAGAAGTGTAATTGTTAAGGGAACTCCTCAACAGTATACAGTAACTACCTTGAGTTTGGGCTTGATTAATTTGTATTAATGAGGACTTTACACCTAAATAGAGTGGGGCTGTCATTAAGGGTCTGATGATGAAGAAGTGTAATTGTTAAGGGAACTCCTCAACGGTATACTGTAACTACCTTGTGTTTGAGCTTGTACAATTGTATTGATTAGAACTTTGCACCTATGTATATTATAAGTAACAAGACGGGTATATGTAGCTTTACACTGAAAATGGTAAGATGATAAAATAAAAACTGCGTTTAAAAAACCGACTTCAAAAACCAAAAACTAATAACAAACAAAAAGTCAAAACCAAAAAGTAAAAAATAACTATTAATAGTACTGATAGGTTACCCACCCACTGATAGGTTAGAAGTCGGTGCCAGAAGCTCATATCATAATGATATAACTTAATGTCCACAAAATTGTAAATTAGGTACCTATTAAGGTTTTAATGAATAATTTTGTATGGAACTTATGGCACCGACTTCTTACCTATCAGTGGGTGGGTAACCTATCAGTACTATTAATAGTTATTTTTTGCTTTTTGGTTTTGACTTTTTGTTTGTTATTAGTTTTTGGTTTTTTAAGCAGACTTTTGAAAAATTGTACTGTGAGTATCTTGTAGATTTGTCTTAAGAAGTTCGTCATAACTTATTTTCTTGATATTTCTACTATTTTGTTGGGTGCTAGGTCTTAAGTTTAACAGCCTAAGGGCCGATTTTTCAAATACAAGTTATATTTTTAATTGTCTAATAAAATTGACATGTGAAAGTTTTAAGTCTATGCAAAATTCAGTTAAAATGTATCTGGTTGGAAAAGTCGTTCCTAAATCGAACTGTAGTCTGAAGTTCTAACCTATCTTTGGCAGTAGACGCATCCTTTATCAATGGAAAAAAATACGAATGAAATGCGTGTTACCTATATTGAAAGGCACCTGTATAACAAATCAAATAATTTTACGTTCGTTTAGTTTAGTTTACCAACACACTTCAATAACTTTACAGTGTACGAATGTATGTTATGTTTACCTAAAATAAATATTTACCAATGATGGGTTTGGATTGGATACTAAATGTCAAAGGTTCAAAATATTCACGAGAACCAAATTAAACAGTGAATAAATAATGATATAGTTACACTTCACGGAAATATGAAATAACGTGGGGCTTTTGTGAAACTACTAAAATAAACCTTATTTGTGCGAAACTAGGTCCCTATTCCCAAAGCTGGTGAAGACTTAATTTTAGGCCAATGAGTTTAAGCTTGATTTACCTAATTTTAATTTGTATTTAGAGTAGAAAATGGCTTCAAATTCCAGAGAGAACTTGTCATTAGTAACGAAAATAGAATGAGTTTCATTCCAACTTTAGTCAACGTGGACTGAAACTAAGTTCAGCCTAGATCAATGACCTAAAACAGATCTAGAAGGGATTACTTTGAACGGTGAAGTATTTTCGATATCTTTTAACGTTCACTGCAATAATCCGGCAAACAAGAGCAGAGCTCACCCGTCTAACGGGTTGGCTATTTAACAGTTAGTTAAGAAATTCTCAAGCCTCGCACCTCTAATTCCCAAAATTTAATTGAGAAAATGAAACTCGACGGACGATCGTTCTCTCGGAAGTGAATTTGTAAAATTATTTTGAAGGTGAATTATTAGTATTAAAAGTTCCTTTGATGCAGCTAATTGAATTAAATTTACCGTAATGTTGACTGTTGGATCCTTAATTAAATTAATATGAATGTTATTATACCTTTCATACCAATGACTCAGCCAAAATACGTATTTTTTACCCAAACGACAATTGGATTGAAAGGAAAATTCCATCTAAGATTTTTAACCTCGTTATAGTCTTGAGACATCGTAATATTGAAATTCTAAGAGTAAAATAAAATTATTGGAATTTTTTCTCAACAAATGAGACCGGTATGATTACAAAAGATATAAGTACAAAAACCACGAAAACTTTACTCTCTTTACGACGGCGTAGGTCTTGAAAATTTTAATGTAACCATTCGCAACTTATTATGTACAGTAAAGAGAGTATAAAACTCGCTGGCGAAACGAGAGAAGTAATATAAAAAAAATAAACAAATAAGTCACAAAACCCACTCGTGAATAATAAAATAAGCGACCTGTATCCGATACAACACAAAACACGTAATAAACAAACGGGTTTGCGAATAAAAAGCTATTTCCCGATGGTGGGACGGGCCAAATTTATCGGGTCGCTCGGCAAAATATAGGTGCAATCCTGCCAACGGTGGAAAGGTGATTTACGTACGCGATGTCTATGAAACGCAAGAAATAAAAGGATTTGTGTATCTTACGGAGCCGAATTGTGTATCAAACAAATGCGATTGAGATATAAGCGTCATTTGCAAGTGTCGCCCGTCGATATATTTGGCGGCGCTGACACCACGAGTGCTGTGCACACGTTGTTAATCTTATTGAAACTCTTTGCGACGCTATTTCCGAACAATTCTATTATGTTCAAGGCGAGGTTTTGCCTCTAGCACTTTTAAAGAGCACTTGAAGATAGGTTCGTGTAATGTAGCCTTTGGTATGTTTCTGAAACCTAGAAGAGCTGTTAACATCTCACGTGTAAATGGGAGGACTTAATTTACCGGGCTTTGTACGGACTTGCCAAAAACACGCACGACTCTTAAACGTACACTTTTCGCTTACGACTACAATCTAGTTTCAGGTTCAATAGGATCTGCTCTGAGACACAAATAAATGTGGGAGATTTGCACTAACAGTTCCGTTTGGTTATTTAAATTTTATCCAATGCCCGAAAACGACCTCTATTTATATTTCCTTTGGAAAAAATCCCGCATTTAGCAATATAGAATTGAATCAATAATCGATTCAAATCGTTTGCGGCGCCGACTTGACCTCTATGGCTCACACGTTTCCGATGACCACGCAGATCAGGCCGACCCTTACGAAATTGAATTGATAGTTATAAGTTACCGTAGGCACACGTACCTACACTAAATAGATATAAAATATTGGCCGACGGACAAAGGTATTGCTCTATATTGGCCGCTAGACGCCTTCATCGTGCGTTCCGATTGTTATGTCGATCATCATTATGGCTGAAATAGATTTTGTAGTTACGTTGAACTTTCTGTTTTGGATATACAACTATTTTTGTAGTAAGACTGTATTTGTATTGAATTATTTTTACTCACATAGTAACAGGTTAAAAGTAAATAAGTTTAAAACTGGTTATTTAATGAACAAAAATAATTAACAACAGAAACGAAACGAAACGTCTAACTCAGATAACTGTACGGCGTAAACAATTAATTTAAACCAAACAGAAGAGGTCACGGTGCCTTAATGTATACAAATATATTCTAAAACCTTCTAAAAATGTGTTTCATAAACACGCGCTAACAATGTAGGTATTCGTATTGATTCTCCGTTTCGCGACACTGAAATTTATGGGTACAATGGTTCCTTATTTTCGCTTCAATTTATCCCCAATACAAACGGCAGAAACTCCTTGAATACGTGTTTTATTTTTGAGTTTGAACTGAAAAATACGTACCATATAATATAAACCTTGTTCTTTTTTCTGAACCTAGATATTTTACTCACAGTTGGTCAGTTGTACCTAGTCCAATTATTATTTTAGTAGGAAATGAATCTACCTCTATATTGTACAGTCTCACTTTAAAATACGAATATTGAAAATAATAATTATACTTTCTACGAATACGGTTAGTCAAATAAAGGGCCTTATATTTAGCTGGCACGTTTATGAAACTATATTACAACAACATTCTTATACGAAGATTTTATACCATGTAATGTCAATGTACGTATTTCGGACTGGCTAAATTAAATGTAAGCTAATGGCAGACATAAAGAGGTTCCGCCAAAAAGGCCTTTAACGTTATTTTTAAGTATTTGTTTGGTCCTATTTTAAATAATGCCTCGTAATGGGCTCAAACTGTTACGGCTAATGATTCGTATTTTTCTTTTTTCGATCGAGTTTCGTAAACTGAACGGTTACGTAACATGTAACTAATGATCAAACGTATTATTCACACGAAAATTCACACAAAACGTGACTCAGTGAATGGTTTGTTTCAGTGTGACAATAAATGTGGCCACACGTTGTGACAGAACTCAATGTCAGAATATTCGTAATAATATGTGACTTCATAAAAACCACGTCGCAAATAATACAAGAAATCTTACTTCTATATATCTCGTATTCACAAGGAGATCCGAGCAAAAACAAAGAAAAGGTACGAAAGTAATCGGATTTTGCATTAGATGGTATTTATTCAAAGAATAAAATATTCAAAACCCCATACGCACCGGGTGTTCACGGATGGAAAACGTGTGATGTAACTGCTCGCGTATTCGGTTTAATAGTCGGTATTAGGGTAATAAATAACAAAAGTTCTAACTCACCTTCCAAATAAACTGCAGCTGAAGCAGATTTGTCATTCTCCACCACTGGTCGAACTGTTTCATATGAGATGGCTTCCAACATATTGTACCTCAAATCTAAAATGACTAGGCTTCTTATATCATCCAGTATATCCTCGTAGAACTTTGTCAGCTTATTGCCGGACAGCGTCAATTTTCTCAACTGTGTGAGGCCTCCGAAAGCCCTCTCTGATATATATTCTAAAGCATTATTATCTAACATCAGCTCTTTCAATCCCCACAGTTCACTAAAAGCCAAATTCCCAACCATTGTTAGTTTATTATTCCTCAAATTCAATCTAGACAGGTTTTCGAGCCCTTCTAACATTTCTCTAGTCACTACTGATATGTAATTATAATCCAAATTGAGTTCTATTAAATTATTCAAGTGCTTGAAACAACCTTCATGAATCAGACTTAAATTGTTATTCGATAAATGTAAAACGTGTAGGTTTGGTAGACCAAAAAACACGTCTCTCTTTAATTCCGATATTTGATTTTCGTCCAGGCTTAGATTCGATAACATCATCATCTGTGAAAACGAGTGCTTCTCTAATGTGGCGATCTTATTTGATTTTAACACAATTTGTCTGACTGTCGAAGAGTTCGTAAATGCGTACGGTGGGATTCTTTTTATAGTTCCAAATTGTATAGAGAGATGTTTCAATTTATCCAGCCTTACTATTGCTTTCGCTGGGATGAATGTGAGCGCGTCGTCCGACCTTACGTTAAACATCAGATGTTCTATTTCGGATTGCGATGAAAAACTAGGCCAGATGAGATCCTCTTCAGTAATTCCTCCGCTAAATACCCAGCAGTCCGCTCTAGTGGCCATTTTGGGCTTGTTACTGTCACAATAACAGTGAACTTTAGATCGCCTGTCGACAATGTCGCAAACGTTAATGAACACTGGTGAATAATAAAGTCTTTCCATTCTCGGTTCAATATCTTCGTTCTTACTACCAGTCACTGTAAACTTGACGGTCATTAGTGATGCGATGATGATCAAATATTTCGTAATCTGTTCCATTCTTGTTCACAAGCCACCTGAAACAACAAAAAAACCTTTTATTAAAACGCTTATTCAAAATATAGTATCTAATTCGCTACTGTCTACTTCGTAGCGATAAGTTTTTCATAGAAAATTATTCCTAAGATATTATTGGAAGTCGGTTACTGTTATATATTACCAAGATAGGATAATATGAAGGTAATAATAGTGTTCTAAAAGCTTTCTTAACTGCTTTAGTTTAATAGGTTGAGATAAGAAATGTTAGTCCATAACTAATTTGATAGCTACTGAAGTTCCTTCCATAATGTTAGAAAATATTAGGAAAAATATTTTATCAGAAATCTTTTCACATAAATCAAGCAAGCGTAGGAAATATTATGGTAAAATTATAAAAGAAGTAGACAAAGATTTCAAGGCCTTTTAATAAAATATTATACAGCTCGAAGTAATAATTTATAAGTTAAACGAAAACGACACCGCAGTATTTCCACTTAAAGTAAAATACACAAACGAAATATGATACAACACGTGTCATAAATATACTTAAACAACAAAAGGTATTTAAATGTATAGAAGGACAACACACTATGAATCTAAATCGAGACATAGGACACACATTGTTCGTCGGCCGAAATAAAAACATGGGTCTAACAAATAAAATTGAAGGTAATAAACACGATTCGTATTAATATCGTTTCGATACCAATATTGTCGTTCGGGGCTCCTAAATAGGATGTATTGCTATACGGTGTAATTACACGTACGGGAGGCGTGCCGCAGATACACGCCAAATTCTTTTTCATATTACGGTATAGGCATCCTACGGAGGGTCAGGTCGCCCTTTGATATATGCCCCTCATAAATAACACAAAATATTTGGTTTCACGCATTACCAGGTCACGACATGTCAAACAAATATCTTCCATTAACAGTTTTAACGTAATTAAAAAAGGAGCCTAATGATGTTATATAAAGGCCAGTATTTGGTGTCACTTCGAGTTTTGTCAGCCTTTCGGCTTTTAGGATTTTAAAACTATAAAGTTGCTTTTGGTCAAACTTTCGCAAGTGGATTAAAGGGGAACTACTCCCGGAGTTTTAAAATGCATTTTTAACGCGGTTGAAAGTTTTATCAACTATTTTTGTGTTTCGTTAAAATCGGATTTGTGTGACCGGGATTTTAGATCTCGCTAAGAATACTTTAAAAGTTGATTCCGAATGAAACACGTACTGAATACTAACAAGGAAACTTGGATAATCGTAGGAGATGGGATGACATATTTTTGTACAACTTCGCACAGACTCGGCAAAAATATGTCATATCGCTTTGGAAATTTTAGATGGAATTTTGAACGAAATTGTTAAAGTTAATATGAACTCGACAGGGACGTATTGTGCTGTGAATTAAATTCTTAGGTATTCATACGTCATAACTCATAACAGTTCGCATTACTGTGATTTTGTTTGTCAAAGACAATAAGTTAGTTCAGTGCCTCAAACAAGCAAACTTAAGCAAACTTCTTGTGATTATGAAACTAATAATAGGTTCCTTTAGGATTAATGTACAAGTCAAATAGAAAACTTAGAGGCATTATCTGTAATGTTTGTTCGCGTTTGTTCTAGAAAAGGTCACTACCGATGTCCTGATAAATAGGAGCATTTATAAGGAACGAACGGTAAACATGTGCGTTGTCTTATACACATTAACAAAGTCTTATCATTGTGTGGTATGACAGTAATATGTAGCGACACTTTCTCTAGTATTTCTTTGTTTTCGTGATTCATGATGTTGTTAGTTGTGTTGATAGCAATTAATGTGTACAATTACATGAAATACTTAAATAAATTAATTTCTGCACAAATTAAAAAACTTCAGTATTGGAATTAAACACGATGCATTTAAAAGTTCTGATATAAATATCTCTCGTCTGCCTCGATCGATCGACTGCCTCGTTCACCGAGTGGTTGCAAGTGCGACTGCCGGACAAGGGGTCTCGGGTTCGATTCCCGGGTCGGGCAAAGTATTACTGGGTTTGAAAAAAAATCTCAATAGTAGCACGGAGTCTGGAATTGTGCCCGGTATATGGCAATAAGCACACCCCCTATTACATGGGACTCATGACATAAATAGTGAAAAGTGAGTGTTACATTGTACAGTGGCATAATGTACACCTCTGCCTACCCCTTCGGGGATAAAAGGCGTGATGTTATGTTATGTTATAAATATACTGATAAAATCTCTACTAGTTTTGAGCTACAGCACGACTCTTCTTCATGAGCTCAGTTACGGCGACAGCTTGGTAGCCTGCGTTTTTAGTTAATTCAGTTTATCTCACGATAATTATCATAAAATCACGATTCACTATAACATTTGATATGTAGAAGCAATTTTTTATGTAATCCTAAACATTTAGAAGTCGTTGGTCGCTCTCCGTAAAATCGAGTACGTTCACCATAATATCATGGATGAAAGGATCCTGTGCTTGTCAATAATCGCACGAACAGTTCCTTTAGCGCATCTTGGCGTCCAGCCAAGAGATGTGAGCGTGAAAAAAGATTGAAACAGGATTAAAGAAAATTATTTTACCCGATCACGGCTAAGTTGAAAGTTGAGTTTTAATTTTATTTTTAGCTGTAGCTTGACTGTAAAATAATTTACTGGGAATATTCTTGGTTATCACTCTGATTGATTTAAAATACTACATCTGGTAAAGATTCAATAATGTTCTATAGAAAATGTATTAAGTGAACCGTGTGATAACGGCAGTCAGTAATCCGTTTGCCACCACTTGCACTCTCCCCGCGGGTTCAGAAGACCCGACTACATTTTAACTTTGATCTCCAAACCACTTGAAAAGAGTGACAGTAATGGTAAAACCCTCTTTAGAAGAGGAAACGCATAGTACAGCAGTGGGCGCTTACAGGCTGTATAGGATAATGAATTGACACTTATCATGACGATAATGTAGACAATCTAGTTTCCTTATGGCATCGAGCATTTCTTTTTTTATTGAAACAAAGAGTTTCCTTTTTCTTGTATAGAAGCACTATTTTTATGGATTGCCAGTATGCATATGTGAGCACCATGTTAGACTATAAGATTTTTCTTATAAATTTTGTAATTAGTATAATGCGTCAAGCGAGTCTTTGCATTGTTCTCACATATAAGTACAGTATTGGAATATGTATCAGAGACATTGTAGAAAATACTTTTTTAAATAGAGTAACGAATGAAGTTTCTTGTTCGTTCTTCTCCATTCGAATCTACATTTTGGAATGAGCACCTAGCTTCACCTAGCTTCAGTAACGGACTGACTGACAGACTATTTTTTATTTTGTATTTGCTGACGTTTCATAAGTACCAAATTATGGTTTAATTAAAATAAATGCTTTTACTTTGACTTTGATAGTGTAATAATAATTGCCACTTTTGTACACGATATCAAAGTGCCTAAATATCCTACAGAATGGCTTAATACTAAATAGTAAAATTACTCATCGTTCTTGGAAATCAGTACCAAGATTACATAGATTCGTTTAGACGTCAATATTGGTTGCCATCTCCCCTTCACAAACAACCCTGATAAAACCTTTTCGATGATAAAAAACGACAATAATGTTAAAACGGCCCAATTTGATTATCTGAAGAAGCTGATTCTCTGGAAAGCTCTAAAAATAAATTTGATGTTACACAAAATTGTACCTAATGTAGTCGCTTCATTGTGTTGACTATAAATAAAGAATTGTTGCTAAAATGGTTTTATTGCTATGTACGGTACTCAATTTTCATAAGGTTGTTTATTCAATGAAAACAATTTTTGTCTTTTTACATATCGTAACATTTTGTAGATGCTTATGGTTTTCGGCAATAGTACCTACTATACAATTTTTTTTCTCTGATTATTTTAGTCAGTTTTAGCAAGCAAACAGTTTAATAAGATTTCTTGACTAAGCGATCATAACATAACATCACGCCTTTTTACCCCAAAGGGGTAGGCAGAGGTGCACATTACGGCACTTAATGCCACTGTACCTACAATGTAACACCCATTTTTCACTATTTATGTTATGAATCCCATTTAATAGGGGGTGAGCCTATTGCCATATACCGGGCACATTTCCAGACTCCGTGCTACTATTGAGATTTTTAAAATACATGCACAACTTCATCGGAATAACGATAAAATATCAGAATACTAATTTAATAACGGGATCATAGGGTAGATGACTAATTTTTATTTTAATAACAGCCTGGTTAGATTATTTAAAAACATTAAACACAACACAACGTATTTTTTATTTTCTTACGGAAACAAATAGTTTCGAAGATATATTGATTTGAAATATCGAATGACGTCACCTTTGTGTACCATTTATACTCTAAAATGACGTAGCTATCTTAAACTTTAATTCGTTTTATCTAAGTATTATTTTCTTATACGACAAAATAAAAAAAACGTTTCTAATATTTTTTCATTATCTAACTGCGGGACTAATTAGATTTTTAATTTTCATACCCTGTCATCATCCCTATTACCAAACTATACTATATTTAGATCCCCAATAATTATTATCGCTAGGATATGAAAGTGGTTACACATAACAGGTGATGTTGGCAACTCCTACAGATTAATATATGAACGTACAGCGAGCAGCATCCCGGATTCCCTTAATATTATTAGTGTATGTGTGTGTGTGATAGGTATAAAGTTGTATTAGTTTCGAATTTGCGTTCAGTACTAATGAGAGTGTCGATACGCCGCAGGTTATAAACTATTCCTCTAAAATTAGAACTTTATGTCTTTAGATTTGGTGGATTTGTACAGTGGTAATATGTGGCCATTTTGGGTCTGTAATAATAGGGTAGTTTCCAGGGTAAGAAAATTAAAAATCTAATTAGTCCGTCAGATAATGAAAAAATATTAGACACGTATTTTTTTTTATTTTCTCGTATAAAGTTACAATGCTTAAATAAAATGGAGTTAAGTTTAGGAGTGGGAGGTAGTTACGTCACAACGTGCTACAAAATTGTGACGTCACACGACGTTTCAAATCAATATATCGCCGAAAGCATCTAATATTGTG